ACCTCCCCGTCAGGTTTTCCATAAGTCAGTATAGTCTCCACTACAGTACCCTTCTCGTCTTCTCTCTCCCACATCCAGGAATACTTCATATATCGCGGCCGGTATCCACGCAGGCCATTCCGGTCCGCCATAGCCGCTTGAAATAGTCTGGCCTCGCCCYCAAGTGTGTACACTTGGATGACTCACACTAGCCCTCGCWTGTGCCTTCTGGCCCCAGACTAGCAACATTCAAGGTAACAAGATGATCCGCGAACACCCGCAACCCGCTCTCTGATAGCCAGACTCYCTCGTCTCTTACAGGCTTGCATCGTACTTAGACCCCAGTGCTCTAAAAGGAGAGCTCGGGGTACCCTCTCCGATTTTGTGAAAATTCGAAAATAAAAGATAATTTTAAAATTGGAATTTTACACAGAGGAAAAACACCAAAAGAGAGGAAGGTTTACGGCCACAATATCTACAGGCCTCTACTATCGGTCCCTATCGCTTCGCCTCATCGTGAGGAAACAACAATTCTGAGGTGGTGGTCCCATWACGGGATACCAACGATCACATTTCTCACCTTTAAAATACAGCTTCGGCCTATCCCCGTCGGGTACCCGTGTCCGATGGCAAGGGGGGGGCTTATGACCCTTCATGGGGGGGGTGATAGGCTCCCTACCAATGCGGCCGCGGGTCGCCCTTCTTTTGAGGTCCTACAGCGAGGCACCCAGTCTATCAAGCTCGACGCAGGTAATATATGAGGGGTCGGCCCACTTAGGCCGCAAATATAGATAAAGCCCGGATTTCYAACCGTTGGCTTTCTTACGACATGACAGACAGAAAGGTAAACGAAAAGCTGACAGTTCGAACGAAAAGAAAAACTAAATAATGATATCAATAATAACTATAATAATAATAATAATAATAATAATAGTTGCAGAAAGGAAGGGACGGCGTTTCAAAATTCCTCTGCGCAGCTTCGCCCATGAAGTAAGTCACTGTGACACAATTCTAAAGCCCGACTTTCGACCTTTTCTTTTCCTCTTCTTCTCTTTCATGCTTTTTCCTTTTCCAGAAACCTCTGTATCTGCCTTTAATCTCAGCTGTAGAGTCTAGCACGCGGTTGAAATGTTTGCAAGGGTTCCTATCACGATTTTGCACCTGGTCCGGGTCACAACCATCAGGACTAAAAAGATCCTCTCAACTCTGATCAGGCCAGGCTACCCGACAGCTACCGCAGCTGGAGGAGTCGAACCACCGGCCAACCCCGAATTAAAGCAGAAGTTTAGGACCTCTCATAGACTTGTCAATTGATTTTCTTTCTTTTTACTTTTTTCCTCTCCCATGTTTTCTTTTTTTTCCTATTTTTCTTTTCCTTGGTCATTTTCAACAGCGGTATCTATCGCGTGCACCTAACCCATAACCTGGTTAGAGGGCATTCGACGCGCAGTAGAAAAGGTTGAGCCGGTCTTTTCACCTCCGAGTCCCAGGGCGAACCCGACGGCTACCACGGCCACAGGCCGGTAGTGCTCTGCTGTGCTGCAGGGCGCACTCTGTCTGCCATGCTGGGACGGGCCATACCAAACCCTTTTTTGTTTCTCTTGCCTGAGTGAGACGTCTTCTCAACTTCTCAAGCACCTGATGGGCATATCAAACCCTCGTTTTCCTTCTCTGGTCTGAGTGAAGCGTCTCCTCAGCTTCTCAGATAAAAGGGCGGGGATACCAAACCTTTTTTCTTTTCTCTGGCCCGGGAACTTCAGATGAGTATTTGTATACCTGCAAAACAACGAGCCCCATAAACAATAACTATGCCCCAGCAAGCAGACCCTCTGACAACCAGTAGTCAAGCATTACCAATAAAATAAAACCCATAAATAAAATAATAAATAACAAATAATAAAATACGTAACAACTCTTCACACCCAAGATTTATTGATTGCCTTGATTTCGACCCACCACTGGCCAGGAATGTCAGACGTCCCGTCAGTTTGACATACCTCATTCGGCCTGCCTCAGGCCAGGACTAGTCCGACCATTTGTCTTGACAGCCCCTTTGACCTGCCTCCAGGTCAGGACCAATCATACCCACTACTCGAGTATGACAGCCCTTTGGCAATCTCGCTAGGACACTTAGACTATAGCGGGTCTGGCCACCCTATGACAGTAGACGTCCCGTCAGTCAAACTGTCCCAAACCCGGATTTTACCACTGCGGTCAGGGCCCGATTCACCTACCAGTTTTTGGCCAAAGGCGCTGGCTGCCCCGCCCAGATTTCTGAACGTGGGACCCGGTCTAACCACAGTTTCAAGCTCTGGCTAACCTCGTTGGATTGCAACCTTTGATTGCGGTAGGGTTCCATCTGACCCCCTTCGACCTCATAGGCCAGACTCCCGGAGCCTGAACCTCAGTCAACTACGGAATTCGACACTTGCGTCGGGGACCTGATAACCCCACCGGATTGCAATCTACTATGGTAAGGCTCTGGATGGACCCGACAATCAATACATCCTCAGGTTAGAGAAGAAGACCCTAGGCATAGACAACCAGACAAGCATATCATGACCCACAAGCAGATTGCTCGCGCCCCATAACGGGACAAACATTTCTCAAGAGACGTCCCTTCAGTCTCAAGAGGCATTGAACAATAACATGCTAGCCAACACCAAGAGTTTGCAAGAGACCTCCCTTCAGCCTCGAGCAAAGAACTTAGTGCTAACCCAGAGAGGTCCCTTCCCTCAACATGGATTTCTTTTCCAAGAGACGTCCTGTCAGTCTCAAGGAAATACTGAAACACTGATCTCAGAGAGGTCCCTTCCCTCATCTAAGTGAAGACAGGCCCTAAGCGAAAGGCGCGAAGTCCCTCTACTGACCACTCTCAGTCAAGTAAAGTTTAACTTTTTTATGCCTGCCTTTATYTGAATCTCTTGGATAAACATTTTACTCAGCGACACAAAGTTATTCTGCAGATAACTCTTAGTCAGTCAGAACTGAACTCCCTCATGCCCACTATGCTCTTGTTCTTATCTTAGGATAGTAGTGATCATATCTTTTGAYGTGCCACAGTCATGAGCTTCTCGAGTTTTGGCAACGTGTCAATACTCAYGAAATTGATTTTACAGTTGTTTCCCCATTYTCAAGGACTTGACACTCGTGGAACGACTGTAGCACTGCATCAAAAGATATAGTCTTAGTCGTTTGCTGAAATATTGAATGAAAGGACTTGCTGAAAATAGAGATACTTAAACTGAGATGTTGTATACTGAAAACTGRAATTTAAATCACCGGAACTGAAATGATGAAACTGAAGTTCTGAAACTGAAATGCTGAATCCGAAATGTTGAATTGACTATGCATGAATGATCACAGCCTCTTGAAAATTCAGTCTTGCTGTGTCATTGTCTCACTGTACCCTTTTCTCTTAGTTCTCTGGAACTATTCTCTTACTTAGATAACTGACCTCTCTTCCCTCTYCTTGAGGTTACTGTAGGAATCAGATCTAGGTCTCTGGATATAAACTTACGAAGTCTGGAACCTRATACCATGYCATGAACCCTGGATCCGTTCATTTCTRAAATCTCATAAACATTGCCTTCTGCCTCTCCCGTGATTCTATAAAGACCAAGCGATCYGGGCTTCAACCTTTTAGTCCATTGTGTCTTAAGAGAACTGTCAAATAGAAGGACAACATCTCCAATCTTCAATTTCTTTTTTCTTATATACCTTTTCTTGTTCCATCTTTCTTGATCTGATAGCCTGCTGGATGTCATCCTTTCTGCAACATCCATCACTACCTGATCAACTTCTGATATTTGTCTCATTCTAATCTAGAGGAGCTCTGAGATGRAATAGTCTTTGTCACTTTCTTGACTTGACCATGTCTTGACAATACTTTCAATTGACAATGTAGCATATAGGTCATACCACAGAGTAAATGACGCATAGCCAGTAGYTCTCTTGACTGTGATGTTGTCAGCATATACAACAACTCTTAATACCTTTGGTCAGTTGCTGAGATTCCCTTCACACCACTTGGCCAATGAATCTTTTAGAGTTTTGTGGCCTCTTTCAACAGGTGCATTCGCTTGAGGATAGTAAGTAGTCACATACC